CAATGGGGTGGAGGATAAGGATTTGGCACGTGTCACTATATTCACAGGAAATTTTTCTTGTATTTCCCAAGAAGGTATTCCATTCCTGACTTGTTTTTAGGTAGGCTTACCTTTTTTGATGATTTTGTTGTTTGTTTCTTCGGGGGTGGGGGTGTTAATGTGTGGAGAGTTATCAGTAAAACTCATCTGTCACTTTGGCTAAGAAATTAGCTTCGTCCACACACTCTTGAAGGGAGTTGTAGCGTTTTATGGTGAACCACTTCCTTGCCTGACCTTCTTTAATGCCTGTGATAGTGATTTTACTAATCTAATTTGTCAGCATCCTTCATTACCTGCCGGCCATTAGAGCATTTTGAAACCCACTACTTGAAGGAGCAAACAGCAGAAGAACTGAAAATAAACTCTTACACTACAGACCCACTCAAATACCCGAGCTCCTGTACAGGCTGTTTCAACTCTGAGCTCTTCCCTTCTTGAAAGTTTTGGATATGTTCTCAGAAATACCTGGGGTTGGAGAAGATGGTCAGGATTCATGACATGTAGGATGCCATAATCCAAAAGCTCTGCCTTCTTCAAGATAATCCTCCAAATGATTTCCCCCTAAACATTTCCCACCTACTACCAGTTCAATGTTTCTCAAACCTTCCTCTTTCCCATATGGCCTTCAAGATTTTTGCCTTTTCTGCATGCCACCTCTATTAATTGTTTAGAAAATGATTTTCTGCCCGGCGCGCATGGCTCAGTGGTTGAGTGTCAACCCATGAATCAAGAGATCATGGTTTGATTCCCAGTCAGGACACACACCTGTGTTGCAGGCTTGATCCCTGATGTAGAGCATACAGAAGGCAGCTGATCCATGATTCTTTCTCTCATCATTAATGTTTCTACCTCTCTCCCTCTCCCTTCCTCTCTGAAATCAATAAAAGTATTTTTAAATGATTTCCTCTTTTTACTAAGGTAAAGCCTTATCTTAGTCCCTCCAATCTCATGGAAAGATCTATAGAGTAGGGGGACTTACAGCATCGTGAATCCCCACACCGGTCCCCTCAGATTCCCGCTACCATGACCACAGAACCTTGCACACAAAGGGGGTTCGGTAAATAGTGGCTGAATGAGTGACTCTTGTCAACCCAGAAGACCCTGATCACCTTCCCATTCCTCCTTTGCCTACTCTAGCTTGTAAGCGCCTTGAAATTGGTGGTCCCAATGGTACCACCAGTTTCTGGCCATTTATAAATTCCTTAGAGCCTCATTTAGTAATAATCTAAAAAGAGTTGATCTCCAGGAACTCATATAACTTAACAAAATAAAGATAAACAACCCAATCAAAAAATGGGCAATGGACCTAAATAGATACTTTTCGAAAGAAGACAGAAGGAAGGCCAAGAGACATATGAAAACATGCTCAAAGTCATTAATCATCCCAGATGCAAATCAAAATGACAATGTGGTACCATCTCACACCTGTCAGATTGGCTATCATCAATAAATCAACAAATGACAAGCACTGGCAAGGATGCGGAGAAAAAGGAACCCTCCTGTACTGCTGGTGGGAATGCAGACTGGTACAGCCACTGTGGAGAACAGTATGGAGCTTCCTCAAAAAACTAAAAATGGAACTCCCATTTGATCCCAAGAAACTAGAAACAGCAATCAGAAAGGATATATGCACCCCTATGTTCATAGCAGCACAATTCACCATAGCTAAGATTTGGAAACAGCCTATGTGCCTATCACTAGAGGAGTGGATTAGAAAACTGTGGTACATCTGCACAATGGAATACTATACTGTGGTAAAAAAGTTCTTACCATTTGCCAACAGCATGGATAGAACTGGAGAGCATTATGCTAAGTGAAATAAGCCAGTCAGAGAAAGATAAATATCACATGATCTCACTTATAAGTGGAATCTATGGAATATAATGAACAACATAAACTGAGAAGCAAAAACAGATCCAGAGACAGAGAAGTATCAATCAGACATTCAAACCTCAGAGGGAAGGTAGGGGAGGGTAGAGGTAAGGGGGAGAGATCAACCAAAGGACTTGTATGCATGCATATAAGCCTAACACAATGGATACAGACAACAAGGGGGTGAGGGCATGAGTGGGGGGAAGGAGAGGTAATGGGGGGATAAGGACACATATGAAATACCATAATCAATAAAGAAATTTTTCAAAAAACAAACAAACTCATTCCAGAAATGAAACAGAAGCATAGATAGATAAATAAATAAAGAGTTGATCTTCATTTTATTTATGTTGAACTATACTAAGAGGTATTTATGGTCTGGTTTGTATGCCTCCCATGCAATCCTTCAGAACCGATACATACATGCGTACACACACACACACACACACACATACATTTTAAAAAATTGTCACAACAACCTAAAAAAAAATAGAGTGAGACTAAAAAGCTGACTCTTAAAGTAGGTGGGAATGTTCTGCCTCACAGCTCGAAGTGTTTGCTTTAGTGATCAACCCAAGCTAGTAAACAGCCCAAAGCACAAGTTCAGCCTTTTCATGAGCCAAATTCATCAATTTAAGACCAAAATACGAGTTCATATTTGCTGACACTATTTAGACAGCTTATGTAACAACCCTCCACTCAGCTGGATAGATTGGCTAAAAGTGATATGACATCCTTGATACAGAAGATTTTAGGTTAAAATAGGATTTTAAATAAGAACAAATGAGCGACTTTGTAGAAAAACTTACAAAATTCCCAAGCCACAAATATACTCACAAATAAAATATGTGGCCACAGAGTTAGTTCCCCTATATTAACAACATTTAGGAGTTTGCCTGTTAAGAAAATTCACTTATATTTCCTTTGAATACAAACTGACAAACAACTCTCTATTTTCTTAAATGTCATAAAAGTGTTTATGAAATTCTTTGCCTTGGATCCACACATATTCAAGTGAATTCAATGAATATCTATTGTAGAACAGAAGACAGTGAAGATCAACTACTGGAATTGACTATGTCTAGCCATTAGTAGGCACTAAATAATGACAACTGTTATTATCAAATTGAACAAACACTCACTGAACAGAAATGTGAGAAGTGCCTGGTAGAGCAGACATTTCACTGAGCTGAGAGGAGTCCTGATGGAGTGGGGGCTTGAGAACCGGTCCTTTTGGACCTTGCAGGGAGCCAGAGATTCTGCCCAGAAGCCACTGGGAGGCCAAAGTGAAGCTGGGCAGGAAAGGAAAAGAAAAATGAAATTCTTGATACCAGAATATAATTAACACCCACTGTCCCAGAATAGTTCACATCTGCTTTCTGGTTTTTGCTCTTGAAAACATATTTATATTAGTTTCGTCCCAAACCCAAACCTCAGAATACCCCACCCAACCCTTTGAGGTCTTGAACATGTGACCTTGGCTCTGGGTCTCTTCTTCCATAACGTACACAGGTGGAACCAGATCTCTGAAATCCTTTCTAGACGTTTAGGTCCCAATTGGGATCCATTTTAACTTGCACTGTGGAGTGGCCAAAATCAACAAACCCAAAAAGCATTACCCAAGTTACCATATCTATTCATGAGTCAGGGCTAATGCCAAATTCCTCTCCTCAAGTTCTAGTCCCCCAGATTTCTCCCCTCTCTACTAGTATGCACCTTATTCTGTCTATGTGTTGAGCTCACGTCTTCGCTTACTCATTGCCTCCCCAGGGAAGGCATCTGGCTCATGTCTCTGCCTTCAGAGCCTACAGAAATGCCTCCTCAATGGCCAATGCACACTCAGTGGCTGTCACCCATCCAGCCCCATCCTCGTGGTATCTGCAGTCTGTTGGCTCTTCACGTTTGCTCTTCTAGGACAGCGTTACAGAAAGGGCGACTCACGCGTGAAGTGTCCTTAGGGACCCAGGCCTCACGATGCGTTAGACTTGCTGGCGGTGAGGCCACGGACGCCTTCTTTCAACAAGGTTGCCGGGTAATTTTAGGCATAATCGTTTGAAATTCGCTGCTTTCAATGACTAAGTTCGCGATTATTTTTTAAGGAAAAGGGGTGTTTTATTAGAGATTTTTTTTTTTTTTTTAACCAGGAATATAGAAGAAAAGGTAGGCGGGGTGGGAAGAGTGTCGTTCAAAGCTCTAAGGTCGCCCTGACTGGTTTGGCTCAGTGGATAGAGGGACGGCCTGGAATGCGAGGTTTCAGGTTCGGTTCCGGTCAAGGGCATCCACCTTGGTTGTGGGCACATCCCCAGTGGGAGATGTGCAGGAGGCAGCTGGTCGATGTTTTTAACTCTCTATTCCTCTCCCTTTCTCTCTGTAAAAAAAAATTAATAAAATATATATATTTTTAAAGGCTCTAAGGTCCAGGAACCTGGCACTGGTGCTATAGGCCTATCTCAGCCAAGTGTAAGGTGTAAGGTGACCAGACGTCCCGATTTTTAACAATTTGTCCCGCATTTTTAAAAAATCGGGACTTTTTTTAAAACGCCGCGGAACAGATTGTTAAAAAGCGGGACGTCTGGTCACCTTAGGGAACTCCTGGAGAGAAGAGAAAGTCTCGGGGATGGGGGGATACCCGACGCCCCGGGAACCCGTCGAAAGGTCGAGAGTCAGTCGGGTGGCCAAAGCCCTCGGGGTCGCCAGGCTGCTGGCCGTAAGCGATGAGCCCTGAGCAGCACCAGATTCCAGGCTCCAGCGCGGAGCCCCAAGCAGCCCCGCCCCTCCTGTCACCTTGGCAACAGCGGCCCGCCCGCAGACAGCGTGGCGCGAAAAGGCGGGACTTCCGGCTCCGGGACCCGACGCGCATGCGGAGACCGGCCAGTCACAGGGAACTTCCTGTCTCGCGGCCTTAAAGACCAATAAAAGAGTTTAACTCCGGGGTCACGTGCCTCCGTTGCCATTAGCAACCAGAGGCTTCTAAACAGCCTGCCCGCCCTCCGCAGCCGCGGCGGCCCAACCTCCCCGGTGGTCCCAGTTCTGGGGGGGCCGCGCCTGGCCTCTCCCGCTCCGTGAGGTCGCTCGCTCCGCCTGCCGCCATGGTGAGTAGCGACCCGCTGGCGCCGTGCGGGAGTGGGCCGCGGCCGGCGCTGGAGACGCGGAGGGGGCCCCTCAGCGATGGCGTGGCCCGCGGCGGGGGGAGCCCGCTTCCGGGCCTCGTTGAGGAGGGGAGGCCGGGGGGCACAGTTAACCTCGGCCGGAGCCCATGGGGTAGTCCGAGCGGAAGCCCTGCCCAGGCGGCCTCGCTCCGCCGCGTGGCGTGGCGTTAGTCCCCGCCAGGCCATCCCGCGCCGGCGGACGGTGGAGAGAGCTGCGGGACTCACTGCTCTCAGGATTGCCATTCGCTTCCAAAAACTCCAAGTGTTCCCCCCCCCCCACACACACACACACCCCATAAATAATGGTTAAGGAGCCGAGGAGGGAGGACGCGGTTGAATCCAGATTTCTTTCTGATGTGAGAATGACTTTGAGAGTCCAAGCCTCTCGTTTCCCAGCTTTGGGAACTTGGGTGACATTTCCTTTCGTTTTGACCTATTGAAAAGAGGCCCCATTTTCCTGAATGCTAAAACAGCGTAGCTATAAAATGAAAAAGAACTTCAACAACGGAATACTATGCTGCCATTAAAAAAAGGACTTCTCATCATTTGCAGCAACCTGGATGGAATTGGAGAACATCATGCTGAGTGAAATAAGCCAGTCAATGAAAGAGAAACACCACATGACCTCACTCATTTATGGATGATAAAGAACTTTATAAACTGATGAATCAAAAGATAGATATAGAGACAGTAAAGCAACAAGCAGACTGTCAAATTACAGCGGGGAGGAGAGGAGGATCTGGGGGAGATAGATCAACTGAAGGACTTATATACATGCATATAAGTGCAACCAATGGACACAAAACCCTGGGGAGGGAGGATATGTATGGAAGGGGGGAGCAATGTTAAAATATGTACACAGATAATAATTTAATAAAAAAATGTTTTAAAAAATGAAAAAGAATTTCATTAATCTTTAGCCTATAGTTGTCAAGCTGTCATCTGGTTTAAATTCAAGGCCAATTAATGGCTATGTCAAAACCAAATCTAATGTTTAAAGCTGTATGAGAGGAGGTAAAGTTGAGTTGCTGTAACAGAAATCTAAAAAAACAATGGCTTAAAGAATGCAGAGGTTAGTTCTGTCTCTCTCACCTAACAGCTATCTCTCTGCTCATCTCAGGTGAGTGGGTCAGTGCTGCTTCATTAAGTCATTTAAAGATACAGGTGCCTTTCATCTTGCTGCACCCCCAACCCCCTAGGGCAGTGGTCGGCAAACCAATTAGTCAACAGAGCCAAATATCAACAGGACAACAATTGAAATTTCTTCTGAGAGCCACATTTTTTAAACTTAACTATATAGGTAGGTACATTGTTATTAGCCACGGTTTGCCGAACACTACCCTAGGGCATAGTTGCTGTCTGCAGGATCAGCCTAGTCACGCCTCCTCCAAGGGTCGGAGAAATGGGGTGTGGCACCCCCCCCCCCCCCATCTAAGGTCCAGGCTTTGGACGTAGCCCTCATCTCTTCTTCTAACATCCATTACTGAGTAGTCATGTGGTCACACCTGATGCGGGGGCAGGCCTGGGAAGTGTCCCCTGGTTGGGCAGCCATGCTCCTGTGAAGAAAACAGGATTTAATGGCTATCTGGCATCTCCACCAAAAGACACCCTGTGTTTTCCTTGCTGGTTCCTTTATTACAGCTTTAAGACTAACAAATTACTTCTCTCTCTTTCAGGCAGAGTTGGGCCTAAATGAGCACCATCAAAATGAAGTTATTAATTATATGCGTTTTGCTCGATCAAAAAGAGGCTTGAGACTCAAAACTGTAGATTCCTGCTTCCAAGACCTCAAGGAGAGCAGGTATCCCGGTGGGAACACGGGCCCTCCCGGCAGCCAGTGTGGGGAAGCTGTGGCAGAGGCCATGCAAGCCTTTGCCAGGATTATCATGGCCGGTTATCACTGAGAGCAGCTACACGGCCACATGGATGTGTGAGACTCAAGTTAAATTATGGTGGGAGCGATCTGTTCTCAAACCTGCACGCACAAGGGGTTTCAGTGGGACCACGAGCCTGTCACCTCCACCTCCTGAGTCTGCGTTTCCGTCTGCAGAGTGAGGGGATTGAAGAAGTCGGCCCCAAAAGTACATGTCTCCGAGCATGTGCTTGTACTAAAGGATGTCCACATTTGAAGAATGAGCCACAATTTAATTGCTTAAATAGGCATCAACATTTAATGCAGCTTACGTTATTAATAAAGGGGATAGCTCCCAGAGAGATGGTCCCAGTAACCCTCCATGTCACAGTGCAGTTTCTTTTATTTTGCACTTGGCTTTTGTTGTTCATGCGGAAGTTTGGGCTGTTGCATTGCAGGCTGGTGGACGAGACCTTCACCATCGATGAAGTGTCTGAGGTGCTGAGCGGGCTGCAGGCTGTGGTTCACAGCGAGGTGGAGTCGGAGCTCATCAACACGGCTTACACCAACGTGTTGCTCCTGCGGCAGCTCTTTTCGCAAGCCGAGAAGTGGTACCTCAAGCTGCAAACAGATATCTCTGAGCTTGAAAACAGGTAATAAAGTTTGGACCTGCAGTTCTGACAGTGGCGGCCCACGCACATTCTTAAACGTTAGTGAATGTCTTCTTGGGGCAGGTGCGCAAGAAAATTCAGGCTGGGCAGCGGCAAAGCATGGGTCCTGAGTGACCTCTTGGGTGCCACTTGAAATGTTGAAATTCCTCTTCAAAATTCTCTGCTTCTACTGTTCCTGAGCATTAGAAACATGAAGTTGCCTTTTAGGCTATTACTAACTATTCCTTTACAGTATATATAGTGGCCCAATCAGCATTACAATAAATCTTTTGAGATAGGTCAACAAGACCTGTCTTTTAAATAAGAAATGTAAAACAGCCGAAACCGGTTTGGCTCAATGGATAGAGTGTCGGCTTGGGGACTGAAGGGTCCCGGGTTCGATTCCGGTCAGGGGCATGTACCTTGGTTGCGGGCATATCCCCAGTGGGGGGTGTGCAAGAGGCAGCTGATCGATGACTCTCTCTCATCAATGTTTCTGACTCTCTATCTCTCTCCCTTCCTCTCTGTACAAAATCAATAAAATATATTTTAAAAAAAGAAAAAAAAGAAATGTAAAACAATTTTTATAATCCAAACATCATCAAAGGGCTCATTAATTTTTCAAGCTCCTTTTCTGAGGAGCTTGAAACTCCTCCTCAGAAAAGTCATGCAGAAATCGGGAAAGGCTGACCTCTGACCCTGGGGGCTGTTATCGAAGCACAGCTGCGGCTTGTGGGCCATGTGGAGTGTTGACCACACGGGTAGGGCCTGAGGCAGGGAAGGAAAACCAAGAGCAGGTTACTGGCGAGTAAAGGAGAAGCTGGCTGGGAAGGAGCTTGAACACGCAGTGACTGCATTCCCGCTGAGGCTCTCGTAGCATCAGCTCTCACTCACCTTTACAAAGGAGAGGAAGTTGTCCGCTCACCTGGACCACTGTCTCTGGGACTGTGTCAGACTTCCGGTGGCTCACACTACTGGCATCCCATTTTTGGGAGGCTTCTCAATTAAAATCAGTTTGTCTTTCTTGAACATCCACTAGCTAATGATATATATTATATGACAATCTCCCTATAGCACCTCAGAAATACAGAGTTGCCTACAAATTTCAGACATGTTTGTCTAACATTGTAGTTCTAGCAGTCACACTGCACACTCAGTGGGGGGCAGACCCAGAGTTGAGGCCTGTGTTTGGACGTTGACGCTGGTAACCTGACGTGGGAGGTGCGCATCTTGCTCTGTTCTCCCAGCCTGTGTGAGATTGGTTCTCGTGTGTGTGATTTTACTTTAAATTCGCTTTAAATAAATGTTTTTCAAATTTGCTTTTTACTCTCTAGGGAATTACTAGAACAAGTTGCAGAATTTGAAAAGGCAGAATTTACATCTTCCACTAAAAAGGTAATTTTTGATCATTTTAAGTATGAGCTGTAATAGCCAGTATTTAAAGTTCCCAAGTTACTCTGGCACTCAGAGGTGAAAGTGTGAGCCCTCAAGGTAAAGCATTCGATTTAAGAGCAGGATTGAAAATCTGTCTCATATTTTCAGGCAAAGGAGGAAAAGTTCGGTAAATAACTGTGAAAGCCTGTTTTAGTCCACTGTCTCTCACACAACACACACACACACACACACACACACACACACACACACACACATTCCCTGCTGTCCACCTGACTCCAGCCATATAAACTCTCTGCTCCCATGATGCAGAGCACAGGCGTGTCAGCCACACCTGTGCGCACATCCTGGCTCTGACACTCCAAAGCTGCAAGACCTTGAGCAGTTTACCAGAGATGGCTGGGCCTCGTTTTCCTCGTCTATCATGTGGAGACCATACTAAAAGGAGCTACCTTGCTTGTAATCCTCATCATTTGCAGTGACTACTTGTTGCCCCATAAAAACCCCAAAATGCTGCTGAGAAGAACCCGTGAATATACACGTACAAACAATTCCCCGGGTATCCCTGTGGGACACGTTTCTGGCTAAGTCGTTTCTGGGTCAAAGGGAATGGAGTCTTTTGGTTTTTGTACACATTTGCTACACTGCCAAGTGATTCTTCATCTGTAGTGTAGTTGCCTAAATCTTCATCACTATTAGTTTTTCCCAGAGTCTGAGTTCATGCAGAAATCTGTTTCCGATCCCACCCGTTAATTGAAAGGGTCATTTTGGGTCATTTTCAATCCCAGTGGATTGAGATGCCAGGGTTTTGTACCTGCTCTGGCTTTAAACACCTTCCCTCCTTTCCTTCCATCAGTATTTTTTACAAAAGGTACGGGAGGGTGGGTTTCATGTTTTCCTCCCATTTGTATTGGGCCCTGGGTCATAGCAGAGAACCAAAACCACGCGAAGCCCCTCGCCCAAGGAGCCGACTTCCCCATGGACGTGCTTTCACAGCGTCTCCATTTAGAAAGTGCAAGCATTCCATGATCACACGCGATTTATCCTGTGCTGGTTTCAGCTCGGTTTCTGTATTTCATTTCAGCCCATCATGGACATCATAAAGCCAAAACTTGCTCCACTTAACGAGGGTGGAACAGCAGAGCTCCTGAACAAGGTAATGTTGCCATCGGTTGGGGGGCGCAGATCCTCTATTCCATCCTCTCCTTGCCTCACAGCTCTAGAATGGAGACACTGAGGAGGAGGAGGCTGGGTCAGGGTTCCGTCCACGGAGGGTAATTAGTCTCCTGTTGTTTACTTAATGGTGCCAGTGGGCCAGAAGAGGGCATACTTACCTCTTAGCAAGTCTGAAGCAGCTCTTTAAAAAAAAAAAGTTTTCAATTACAGTTGACATTCAGTATAATTTTATATTGGTTTCAGGGGTACAGCATAGTGGTTAGACATTTATATAATATACAAAGTGATCCCCCTGGCAATCCTAGTACTCACCTGGCCTCACAGTTACTCTAGTGTCAGTGAGCATATTCCTGCGCTGATGCTGTACATCCCCACTGAGCAGCTCTCGTTGCATTTTCTCATGGGGAGGTGAAGAGCATGGAATTCTAGACATCATTTATTGATGGGCATTTGAAATTTATGATCTGTGATAACAATAAAGGGAATTTTACTAAGTGGCTTATTAAAATTACCAATATACAAATAAATATTTTTCATGATTCCTGTATTGTCAACATTATGCTAACTCTTGTTAGACCAAAAGCAGTCCAATACCTGGCTTTTGCCCTCAAACACCTTCTGGTCTCATGGAAAAGGGACCTGGTATTCTGGAAGCAGAGATAGGGAAACGCTGGTTGTTGCCACAGGTGCCACCAGGCGGCAGCAAAGAGGTGTGTGTAAGAGGAGGACAGACTTGGGGAAGACAGTGCTGGACGGGGCTGAAGAGGACAGACAGGTTAGGTTGTCAGAAGAGAAAGACATGGCAGGCAGCACAGGAGGAGGCTGGCAGGATGGGATCGGGCAGCACTCTAATGCAGTGTAGGCCGAGAATAGATGGGAGTCGCAGAATCAGGTGGGTAAGAAACGGCAGGGAGAGGATAGGCAAAGGCTGAGGGGGAAGCTGAGAGAGTCTGAGACCTAAGAGAAGCAACTAGGAGTCTTAGAACCAATGGAGACTCCAGATGCCGCAGCCAGTACACTGGGGAAAATGAGATGTTACCATAACCAGGGCATGCAGGTTTTTATTACCTACTAGAGGCCCGGTGCACAAAATTCATGCATGGGAGGGGGGTCCCCTCAGCTCAGCCTGTACCCTCTGCAATCTGGAACCCCTTGAGGGATGTCCGACTGCTGGGATCAGGCCTAAATTGCAGTCGGACATCCCTCTCACAATCCTGGACTGCTAGTTCCTAATCACTCACCTGCCTGCTTGCCTGGTCGCTCCTGCCCCTGCCAGCCTGATCGCCCCTCACTGCCTCTGTGTGCCGGCCTGATCGCCCCTAACGACCCCTGTACCAGCCTAGTCACCCCACTGCCTGCTGTTCAGTCATTTGGTGCCAGCCTAGTCATAGGCAGCCATCTTGTGAAGGCGTGAGGGTCAATTTGCATATTATCTCTTATTATATAGGATTTTAAAATAAAACAAGTAATGTCAACTATTACAAATTCTTTGGCTGAAATAACAAAACTTTAATTTACTCACAAAGGAAATTTTAAGGCTTCGAGAAGAGAATGAGAAACTGAAGTCCAGGCTGAAGACCATCGAAATGCAGGTAGGTACCTGAGAAACCCGCTCGCAAACCCTGAGAGCGACTTACAGGCTCATCCTAACCATATTGTGCTCAAACTTGACTGCAGGCTATGAACGCGCTGGACGAGAAGTCAGAGCTGGAGCGGGCGCTGCATGACTTACAGCTGGACCAAGGCGACCAGAAGGTGAACAAAGGCAGCTCTCTCACGTTGGCTAAAGAGTTATGAACTGAACATTAAGTCCTCATTACTGTTCCTTCCCCACCACTCCCTCACTCCCCGCCGCTGATTTGCTGCATGGGGCCTCCTGGTCCATGAGAATGGCACCCATCACTCTGCCCTCCAGGGCCGAGGACACATACCCAGCTCACGTGTCCCAAGAGCTCATTGGCATACAAGAGATCTTTATATGTTATTTTTAATAGATATTTTTGTTGATTTCAAAGAGGGAGGCAGAGGGAGAGAGAGCTAGAAACATCAATGAATCACTGACTGGCTGCCTCCTGCATGCCCCGCACTGGGGATTGAGCCCGCAGCCCAGGCATGCGCCCTGACTAGAAATCGAACCAGTGACCACTTGATTCATGGGTTGATGCTCAATCAACTGAGCCACACAGACCGGTCATAAATAATGTTTTTATTCTTCCATGTGTATCATTTAAACTTCTTCACTAGGATTTTTTTATTTTATTTTATTTTATTTATTTATTTTTTTTTTAAACGTTATTTTATTTTATTATTTTTTTTTCAAACAAATCATCATTTATATTTACAGTATACAGATGCAAAGCATTAATTTCCCACTAAATCATCACTTTCTTAAAATGGTACATGTGATGTTATGAAATTAGCTATTAAGCATTCGAAATAGTAGAAAAGAGGTCCTTTCTTCAGTCTTTTTTTTTTTTTTTAAATATATATATATATTTTTGATTTTTTTTTTTTGCACTCCCTCCCTCCCTCCCTCACATCCCCTCCCTCCCCAGAGTTTTATGTCCATTGGTTGTACTTATGTGTATGTATAAAAGTCTTTCGGTTGATCTATTATCTCCCCCAGATCTTCCTCCCCTCCCTGCTGTAATTTGACAGTCTGCTTGTTGATATACTATCTTTATATCTATCTTTTGGTTCATCAGTTTATAATGTTCTTTATTATCCACAAATGAGTGAAGTCATGTGGTGTTTTTCTTTCAATGACTGGCTTATTTCACTCAGCATGATGTTCTCCAATTCCATCCAGGTTGCTGCAAATGATGAGAATTCCTTCTTTTTTATGGCAGCATAGTATTCCATTGTGTAGATGTACCAAAGTTTTTGGATCCAATCATCAGCTGACGGGCACCTAGGCTGTTTCCAGATTCTGGCTATTGTAGATTGTGCTGCTATGAACATAGGGGTGCATATATCCTTTCTGATTGGTGTTTCTAGTTTCTTGGGATATATTCCTAGAAGTGGGATTACTGGGTCAAATGGGAGTTCCATTCTCAGTTTTTTGAGGAAACTCCACACTGTTCTCCACAGTGGTTGCACCAGTCTGCATTCCCACCAGCAGTGCACGAGGGTTCCCTTTTCTCCACAACCTCGCCAACACCTGTCGTTTGTTGATCTGTTGATGTTGGCCATTCTGACAGGTGTGAGATGGTACCGCATTGTTGTTTTGATTTGCATCTCTCGGATAATTAGTGACTTTGAGCATGTTTTCATGTGCCTTTTGGCCTTCCTTCTGTCTTCTTTTGGAAATATTCTATTTAGGTCCATTGCCCATTTTTTAATTGGATCATTCATCTTCCTTTTATTTAGTTGTATAAGCTGTTTGTAGATGTTGGAGATTAAACCTTTATCAGTGGTAACATTTGCAAATATGTTCTCCCACATCGTGGGCTTTCTTGTTGTTTTGTTGATGGTTTCTTTTGCTGTAAGAAAGCTTTTTATTTTGATGTAGTCCCATTTGTTTATTTTCTCTTTAGCTTCCATTGCCCTAGGGGCAGTATCAGTGAAGAAGTTCTTTTGGCATATGTCTGAGATTTTGCTGCCCGTGGATGCTTCTAGTATTTTTATGGTTTCCCGTCTGATGTTTAAGTCCTGTATCCATTTTGAGTTTACTTTTGTGTATGGTGTAAGTTGGTGATCCAGTTTCATTCTCTTGCATGTATCTGTCCAATTTTCCCAACACCATTTATTGAAGAGACTGTCTTGACTCCATTGTATATTCGTGCCTCCTTTGTCAAATATTAATTGAGCATAGTGATTTGGGTTGATATCTGGGTTCTCGATTCGATTCCATTGATCTATATGTCTGTTTTTGTGCCAGTACCAGGCTGTTTTGAGAACAGTGGCTTTGTAATACAGTTTGAAGTCTGGTATTGAGATCCCTCCTACTTTACTCTTCTTTCTCAGGATTGCTGTGGCTATTCGGGGTCTTTTATTGTTCCAAATGAACTTTTGGAGAGTTCTTTCTAGGTCAGTGAAGTATGCCGTTGGTATTTTAATGGGGAGTGCATTGAATCTATAGATTGCTTTAGGAAGTATGGACATTTTGATGATGTTGATTCTACCAATCCATGAACATGGTATGTTCTTCCATCTGTTTACATCTTCCTCTATCTCTTTTTTCAGTGTCGTGTAGTTTTCCGCATATAGGTCCTTTACTTCCTTAGTTAAATTTATTCCTAGATATCTTAATTTTTTTGGTGCGATGGTAAATGGAATTGCTTTTTTAGTCTCTGTTTCTATAAATTCGCTGTTGGTGTATAGAAATGCCATAGATTTCTTGGCGTTAATTTTGTATCCTGCTACATTGCCAAATTCATTTATTAAGCCAATTAGTTTTTTAATGGAGTCTTTTGGGTTTTTTATGTACAATATCATGTCGTCTGCAAATAAGGATAGCTTTACTTCTTCTTTTCCAATTTGGATGCCTTTTATTTCCTCCTCTTGTCTAATTGCAATGGCTAGTACTTCCAGTACTATGTCAAAGAGGAGTGGCGAAAGTGGGCATCCCTGTCTTGTTCCTGTTCTTAGAGGGAATGGTTTTAGTTTTTGCCCATTGAGTATGATGTTGGCTGTGGGTTTATCATATATAGCTTTTATTATGTTGAGGTATGATCCTTGTACTCCCACCTTGTTGAGAGTTTTTATCAGGAAAAAGGGTGTTGGATTTTATCAAATGCTTTTTCTGCATCAATTGATATGACTATATGATTTTTATCTTTCAACTTGTTTATGTGATGTATCACGTTTATTGATTTGCGGATATTGTACCATCCTTGCATTCCTGGAATAAATCCTACTTGGTCATGGTGTATGATCTTTGTGATGCTCTGCTGGAGCCGATTTGCTAGAATTTTGTTGAGGATTTTGGCATCTATGTTCATGAGGGATATTGGCCTATAATTCTCTTTCATTGAGTTGTCTTTATCTGGTTTTGGTATTAGGGTGATGCTGGCTTCATAGAAGGAGTTTGGAAGTGTTCCTTCCTCTTGGATTTTTTGGAATAATCTGAGGAGGATAGGTTTTAGTTCTTCCTTGAATGTTTGGTAAAACTCTCCTGTGAAGCCATCTGGCCCTGGGCTTTTGTTTGCTGGAAGTTTTTTGATGACTGTTTCAATTTCTTCCCAAGTCACTGGTCTATTTAGATTTTTAGATTCTTCCTGATTGAGTTTTGGAAGGTTGTATTTTTCTAGGAATATGTCCATTTCCTCCAGGTTGTTCAGTTTATTGGAATAGAGCTGTTCGTAGTATTTTGTAACAATTCTTTGTATTTCGGTGGGATCTGTTGTTATTTCACCTCTTTCATTTCTGATTTTGTTTATTTGGGTCCTCTCTCTTTGTTTCTTGGTTAGCCTGGCTAGGGGTCCATCTATCTTGTTTATTCTTTCAAAGAACCAGCTCTTGGTTTTGTTGATCTTATGTATTGTTTCTTTGGTCTCTATGTCATTTATCTGTGCTCTGATTTTTGTTATTTCCTTCCTTCTGCTTACACTGGGCTTTTCTTGTTGCTCTTTTTCTAACTCTTTGAGTTGTAGAGTTAGCTCATTTGTTACCCTTTTTTCTAGTTTTTTGCAATAGGCTTGTAGGGATATGAACTTCCCTCTCAAAACTGCTTTTGCTGTGTCCCATAGATTTTGGATAGTTGTGTTTTCATTGTCATTTGTTTCCAGGATGTTTTTAATTTCTTCCTTGATTTCTCTGGTAACCCAGTCCTTGTTTAATAGCATGCTGTTTAGTCTCCATGTGTTTGATTTCTTTGGATTTTTTTCGTTGTAGTTAATTTCCAGTTTTATGCCACTATGATCTGAGAAGATGCTTGATATGATTTCTATCTTCTTGAATTTGAAGAGACTTTGCCTATGTCCCAAAATGTGGTCTATCTTTGAGAATGTCCCATGTGCACTTGAGAAGAATGTATATTCTGTGGCTTTGGGGTGGAATGTTCTGAAGATGTCGATTAATTCCATCTGGTCTAGCGAGTCATTTAGGATTGATATTTCTTTGCTGATTTTTTGTTTAGATGACTTGTCAAAGGGTGACAGTGGGGTATTAAGATCTCCTACTATGATTGTATTGCTATTAATCTCTCCCTTAATGTCCTCCAGCAGTTTTTTTATATATTGGGGTGCTCCCGTATTAGGTGCATATATATTTACCAGGGTTATTTCTTCTTGTTGGATTGCTCCCTTTAGTATTATAAAGTGGCCTTCATTATCTCTTGTTATGTCCTTCACTCTGAGATCTAATTTGTCAGATATAAGTATTGCTACCCCAGCTTTTTTTCCATTTCCATTCGCCTGGAAAACCTTTTTCCATCCCTTCACCCTCAGTCTGTGTGCATCTTTTTTTCTGAGGTGAGTTTCTTGTAGACAACAGATATATGGGTCTTGTTTTCTTATCCAATCTGTTACCCTATGTCTTTTGATTGGAGCATTTAGTCCATTTACATTTAAAGTTATAATTGATAGATACTTATTTGACGCCATTTTTATTCTATACCCCTGTGTTCCTTCTTTGCTTTCTATTTCTTTAACTTTACAGTAGACCCGTTAGCATTTCTTGCATTGCTGGTTTGGTGGAGATAAATTCCCGTAGTCTGTTTTTGTCTGTGAAGCTCCTGATTTCCCCTTCAATTTTGATTGATAGCCTTGCTGGGTACAGTATTCTTGGATTCAGACCCTTCCTTTGCATGACCTTGTATATTTCATCCCATTCCCTTCTGGCCTGATAAGTTTCTGTGGAGAAATCAGTTGCTAGTCTGATGGGGGTTCCTTTATATGTAACTTTCTGTCTCTCTCTGGCTGCTTTTAAAATTCTTTTTTTGTCGTAGGTGTTTGCCAGCTTAATTATAATGTGTCTAGGGGTTGATTTTCTGGGGTTCATTTTGCTTGGGACTCTGCGAGCATCTTGGATTTGTGTGGGTTTTTTCTTCTCTATCTCAGGAAAGTTTTCTGTCATTATTTCTTGAAATACGTTTTCCATGTCTTCCTCAATTCCCTGTCCTTCTGGAACCCCTATTACTCTAATATTGTTTTGTTTTGTATTGTCCCAGAGTTCCCTTAGACTTTCCTCCTGTTTTTTAATTTTTTTTTCCAGAAGCTGTTCTATTTGGGTATGTTTTTCCATCTTGTCTTCTAGCTCGCTGATGCGATCCTCTGCTTCTTCTAATCTACTCTTGATGCTTTCTATTGAGTTCTTTACAGTAGCGATGTCATTTTTCATTTCTTCTTGGTTCTTCTTCATTTCCTCTTGGTTCTTCTTCATTTCCTCTTGGTTCTTACTCATATTGTCAAATTTGTCTTCCATTCTTTTTAGCCATCTTATGATCATTACTCTGAATTCTTGCTCTGGTAGGTTGCTTCCCTCTATCTCGTTTACTTCCTTTTCTGGTGAGGCCTGCTTTTCTTTCATATGCGGGCTATGTTTTGGTCTCCCCATGATCTAGGATGTCTGGTTGTGTAGTTCTCTCTCTCCTGCTTTGATTTAAAGGCACCAAATACAACACAACCAGGTACAACACACAGGGGACTGAATCGGGATGTGTTTGAAATATTAATAACCACAAATAAGGGTGACTAGAACCCAGCTAGCAAAAACATACAATCAAACAAAAAGCATATCAAATCAATCTTATAAACAAAAGCATTCAACTTCAGTATAGTTAACATTCAACATACAACTTCAAAGTGTTAGAGAGAAAGACTTTTGTTTTGTTTTGTTTTTAGGACAACTGCAAGGGAGGTGTGAATGGGCTCGGAGCAAGTAGTTGGAAATTAGATATATAGAAGTAGGGTGAAATTTTAGGAGGGGGTAGACAGAAGGAATGGGGAAAATCTAGAGCAGGAAAGGGTTAAGATAAACGGGGTACCAAAGGAAAATATCGGAAAGAGGGTGAAGGCATAAAGGATAGGTTGAGATAGAATAAAGCGTTGGAGAAGGAAAGATAGATAAAGCCTGTAGAACAGTAATCCTGAAATAAAATAAAAAATAAAAATATATATATATATATATATATATAATCAAATGAAATAAAAATAATAAAAATAAACAAAAAATAAGATGAAAAAGGTAACTTAGTAGTAGTACAATGTAGTAATTATAAAGATAAAATCAAGTGAGGAAAAAGAAAAAAAATAGTTTCTTGAGTAAACGTTGCAAATAATGAAAACAAAAATAAAAAACAAAAATTTAAAAATTTAAAAATTAATAAAATTTAAAAAATTTAAATAAAATTTGCGGTAATGAAGGTCATTTGCTTCCTCTATTGTTATGATCCAGTCCTGATTTTTAGGCAGGTTTTGCTTTGTTTTTATTACACTAGAGTCAATTTGTGAATTAGCCTCTGGGGGCAGTGTTTCTAGGTTGACTTCCCAGACTCTAGAGCCTCTCCAGCTTTTTTTTTTTTTTTTTAGTCCTCTCTGAAGCAGGAACTACGGAGGGGGGAGGGGGCAGGTCCGAGCAACCTCAATCTCCCGCAACTCTCCTATACCCCTCCGCGCCAGATCCAAATGCGTTGCTCTTTAGATATCTCCCCTGTTAGGAGCCCCGTCCACTTTCACGGGTGACACCCGCCCAACAGCGGGGCTTCTACTTGTAATCGCCGCCCTTGTCCTCCAGCTTCCGCGTTCTGCGCGCAGGCTTTGTTTTCGCCGCGAGTGCGCTCCACCCTCTCCCCGCGAAATCTGACCTTTTCGCCGAGCAGTGGGGCACTCCTGTGAGGCCAGGTGTTCGCGCCGCCTGGGATCCGCGTTCTGGGGGTCACAGTTGCTTGTTGGTCGCTGCGGCTGTGGATATTCAGGCCTCTGACAGGATCCTATCTTCCTCTCAAGATGGCGAGGTTTCCCTATCCAAGCCGGCAGGTAGCTCCGGGCAGGGACGCAGCCCGCGTGGGTGCTTCCCTGTGAGGGGTACCTCTGTCAGCAGCCCCCCAGCAGTTTCTTCTGGTGTTCGCTGTCTCCCAGCTTGCTAATAAACACTCACAGCTCAAGACCATCAGTTGCTCTCTCTTTCTGCTTCAGGAGAGGGCTCAGAAACCGCCCATCTATTCTTCCGCCATCTTCCCTCCTCCTCACTAGGATTTTTTTAAACTTCAAAATATAAAACCTGTTTGCCTTCCCAGCACCGAGACGCACAACTGTCGTATCTAGAATCTCACCTCTGTCCTGCTCTTCTGAATCCCCGCAGTCCATAGATCATATTTTATGAGTTTGGAGGTCAGTGAGCTTGCACTCTGCCATGTGCAGGACACTGCACTGAGAGCTGAGGGCAAACGAGGGGCGGGGCTGGCAGCGCCCGGAGCCAGGGTGAAGCTGGGAGGGAGGCTGATGAGCACCTGCCTTTGCCTCCTGTGCAGGTGAATCACCACCTACCACACTCACTGTGTAGGGCGTCAGCATGAACTTACGGTCACGTGTGCATTTTCCTAGGATATTATAAAGGCCCAAGACTTGTGTGAGTTGGAAAACACAGTTGCCGCTTTAAAGAGTGAGTTTCAGAAGACACTCAGCGACAAGACAGAAAACCAGAAGTGTCTGGAGGAGAGTCTAGCGACGGCCAAGCACGATTTGCTGAGGGTTCAGGAGCAGCTGAGCATGGCTGAAAAGGTCTGATTTGTCCGTGAACGTCCATGGAGTGGTGGGTGCCTTAAGGCGAGCGCTGGACAGCTGCGCGTTCGCATTTTCCTTCAGCTGCTGGCCAGTGTGTGTTCTAAAGATTTATCATTTCTGGCCACTGAAATTCTTCCAACTAAAATATCTGTGATGATAAAAATCTCCACTCCTTCTGCCGTGTGGTAGAATATTCCACAGTGGCTTGCCCTTCCTGCCATCCCTCTACCGCCTGTCAGAGGGATGAGTGACTTTTTTTAAGGATTCTATACCTTTAATTTGTAGAATTTGGGAGCAAAATTTTAAGTAATTTAAAAATCCTGAAATATGACTCTACTTTGGGATTTGAAAAGAAATCGTTCTTATTTTGCCTGAAATTAGTTTACTGTTTCAAATACCTTGCCCATGTCTCGGGCACAGTATGCTTGAGCCATTTGCTAGCATTATGTTTGGAGAGACATTACTATTTTAGCAGCTTGTCATATGGAAGAATATTTTTAAAGTTTGGATACTCTTAATTTTATACGAGTATGTTTTTTAAAAGAAATCAGAAAATAATATAAGCAGATTATTAGTAAAATTAGAGCAAGAAATATACACTTTCATCAGATTTGTTCATTCCTTCCTTAACCACTTCTTAGTAGTGAGCAGGCGTGTTTCACTGTGCAGGAATTAGAGAAGAAATTCCAGCAAACAGCAGCCTACCGGAACATGAAAGAGATTCTGACCAAAAAGAACGACCAAATCAAAGACCTGAGGAAAAAACTGGCAAAGTAAGCCGTGCCCGTGTGCCTCTCGGATTTGTCTCCCTGATGGGTTGACGTCTGTTCTTCATTAAACCTAAGCTTGTGTCCAGAGAGGTCAGGCCGGTGGGCATTGCTCTCTCATTTAGTCCAAAGCCTGCATTTGAGACAGCGGAGGAGCTTTGGCCTGCTCAGGGTGGCTTTTAGGTACAGCCAGTCCTGTAGACTCATCCGTGGCGGCTCTAGGCTACTCTTGGCATTGTAGTCAGGTAGCAGGATCTTGGCTGGGAAACAGCCAGCTGGCAGGGGTCTGAAGGCTCCGAGGGCTGGTGTGCGGGAATGGATATAACAGGAGAACCCACCTCAGGCAGGGATACTCCCTTCACTGAAACCCTAAGGGAGGTATTACCAGCTTTGCTGAGCTGGGCATTTCTCCTTCACAGTGTCCTTGCAGCATCTAAGACCTGGCCATACTGTGCCCTCAAGTGACAAATTAGGTGCAAAAGAATGAGATTCATGCAGATGGATGCCACGGCCAGCATGGCTGAGAAGTCCATGCTCACATAGACCATGTGGTCCCCAGCTAGGGAAGTGCAGTTACAGGAACTCACTGTGCAGAGGGAGGTCTCAAGTTGTGACGCCACCACGTACTTGGCGTTTGCTCACAGACCTGGTCCAGATGGAGGCTACTAATCAGGGCCACTTTTGTCATCGGCGGTTTTGTCTGCAAACTCAGCTGACATTTTTATCAGTGTTCTAGGGGATAGAGCTAGGAGGTGAATCTGGGCTCGTTAACCCTTCCCTCGCTTAGCCATACCTGCTAGTGGTGTGGATCTGAAGTTAGATGACTGAATTTCTCCTCTGCCGGCATGGATCTATCTGTCAGATACAGAGGCTGAGTCTGAAGGCATCTCAGCAGTTAGCTGGCCCCTTCTGCTTGCCGCAGGAAGCCCCTCTGAGTCCCCTCACAGGGCCTGACTCTTGCCTCAGCCGTGAATCAGAGCGAGAAATGCAGTGTCGCTGCTGCAGTCACTGGAGATGTTTCACGTCAGCTCACTTGGTAACAGTGACAACAAGAGGGTATCATGATGTTATGCTCTTGAGCTAATTGCTGTCTCTTTCCAGATATGAACCTGAAGATTAAAAGCCTGAGGTCTCATCCAGAAGCTGCCGGAGAGTGAACACAAGCTGTTCTCACCTCAGGCATGTATTTTGAAGAAGTTTGTTGTATTCCCTCTTTACCTTTCTAACGTTTAGACTTTGCTCCAACGTTTTAAACTGGAGTTCCTGTTTTCAGTTGCCTAAGGACAACCTGGCTCCAGCCGTTGTCCCAAACCCCTGTCTGCCGAGTACTCCAGGGTCTTGGCTCACAAGCACCGAGTCCCTCCCAGTAAAGAAGAGATGTTTAGTGGGAAGAAGGGGCTCAGCCTTTGCACTCCTCTGAGGAGAACCCTTTTTAGCAAATGTTAAAGCGAGCAATCTCCCTCCCTGTGCATTCCCCAGGGTAAATACAGACACAGAGTTATTGAAGACATTACAAATAAACCTTATTTTGAAAAATGAAACCTAATTCATTTTCTCTATTTGATCATCAAGAAATATAAGAATTAATTGGAAATGTAAATACTACCTGTCATAGGCAACATTTTCACCGACGATAAGGAAAATGAACAGTGAGCGTGAGGGTCTAACTTCTGCGGTCACCTCCATGCTGTGCTCAGCGACGGAGGTTCGGACATTCTTTGCACACAGCTTAACAAGAAAACTGGTGGCATGCTGTTCTTCCACAGCTGAGAAAGTGTGGGCCCAAAATAAATGGACAGTAGTACCCCCTTTTCCACGGTTTCACTTTCCATGGTCTCCGTTACCTGCAGTCAACCTCAGTCAGAAAATATTCCGTGGAAAATCCCAGAAGTAAACAATTCATAAGTTTAAAATTACACACACAGTTATGTCCCAGCATCTCCTATTGTCAGCTCTGAACAACGGGACAGCACCGCTGAGCTCAGCAAAGCTGATGTTACCGCCCTCAGGGTTTCAGTGAAGGGGGTATGCCTGCCCGAGGTGGGTTCTTCTGTCTTAGCCATTCCAGCACACCATCCCTCGGAGCCCTCTGACCCTCAGTGCTCTGCCAGGCAGTTGTGGAACCCGCCTCATTTTGGGGGTGCCATCATCTTGAAGCAGGGTCTTGGAACTGGCCCCATGTGTCCTTGCCACGTGCCAAACCCTAAAGCAGCAGAGAACCCCCACATCAGTAAACTCAGCCAGCTCCTGTTCTCGCCCCCACTGGGCCCACATCCTCACGATCCCCGCCCACACGTGCTTGCCAGTTCCCGCCAGCCCTTGTGAGCTAGCCAGGTCTGCAGCTCTCCTGGGGAGTGACTCATTGCTCCTCCACACAGGCCGCGCTGCTGCTCACCCATGTGATGAATGGAAGTGGGCAGATCTTGGGGAAGACAAAGGTTGTCCTTCCAGTCTTTTCTCCCAAGAGAGGCCTTTGAATGATTGTCAGGGGGAAGGCTGCCCCTTCTCCAGCACAGGGGTGTGAGCCACTTGCTAGACTCAAGGGTTCAGGGGAACTTGGGGTGTCAAGGTTCTTGAGGGCATCTGCCCAAATGGGCTCACTCATGCCTGACTATCGTTCCTTCCCAATCAGAGCCCTCGCTTAAAGGAGACATTCCAGGGGTGTGAGTGTTGTCCCCTTTGTAACATACCACCCTAATGATCCCATCTGGGGCTGATTCTCAGCATGTTCTGTTCTCTGCAGTTAGGGGTCTCTTTAAAAGTCGCCATGTGGCATTCTAGTTGTCACAGCATCTCCTAAGGTGACAGTTGGCTAGTCAGAACCTGCCCTCTCTTCCTTCATTCCAGTCCAGTCCAGGTGAGAGTCCTCACCATTGGGCTTACCACCAGCAGTGAGGTCCTGCTGCCATCTGGCTGCAACCCGTGTCTCATCCTGAGGGCCTGCTTTCCTGGGCCACTTTTGGCATCACCTCTGTTAGCTGGGCTCCCCTAAGAGCAGGCTCTGAGGCAGGGATTTCAGTTCAAGTAGTTCACTATTTGGGGGTGTTCCAGGAAGCACTATGAGTGTATGGGGGCATGAGACAGGAAGGGAAGGAAGTCAGTGCAGCAGGTGACCCCTGTGGACCGCCACCAGAGTAAGGAGGCTAGAGCATGGTCCACCGCCTCAGTTATCAGGGTGATGTTACCTCCTGCACTTCCTGTGCCTGGCTGTGCCCCAGGGGCAGACACCGAGAGCCTTCTCCTGGCCACCTGCAGGCTAGGGTAAGCATGTGGTCCACGATGAACGGGGAAGACAGGAGAGTGAAAGGAAATGCAGTGGACAGTCTGACATGCCATACTAAAAGGTGAACTCACGCTGTGCTCAGGTGGCCAGGCCACAGCTGCCTTTACCTCGTTACAGCCCCGAAAACAGTCTCCCTGGACTGAGAACCCAGTCCAGAGCCCGTCTTAGTGACTCAGCCTGTCATGGGTGCTCACTCCAAATGTTTGTAAAACTGAACTGCTCCCTGCACAAGCACAGCTCAAGCCATGAAAAAGCTTGGTAGCTTGACCAAAATTAGGTATTACCTATGAGTTACTAAGGTTTCTCCATATAAATGGTCAAAACTTTAAATTCAGCCATTAGAGAAATCTTCACCTTGGGACATAATTTCCTGTCTTAAGCGGTGAGTCATAAGCATGATTTTATTTTTCCCCAATGACTCCAAGTTGCTCCGACACTATTACAGTGATGTCTGTAACAGTGACCTGCACTGCAGTGGCCTCAGAGCTACTGAGGTGTGGAGAGATCTTTGCCCCTATAACAACTGGTTTGCATGCACTATGTTTTTTTGAACTGTTGCATCTGATTTTTATGGTTTGTGTACATCCACCCATGTCCTTTCCTATCGGACTGGCAGCCAACACCCTGGTTTTGATCAGTGTGCCAATCTCTGTTGCCATGTCTTCTGGGCTTGGGAAAGAGTGGCTTATTAGAATTCTGTGCATCCTCGGTGAGGGCTCAGAAACTCGTCCTCTGTGAGTGACGTGCGTAGACTTTGTGGCATCTCGGCAGCTCTATGTTAGATTGATTTATAGGAGGATGTTAGGTTGACTTCGGATCATTGCAGTTTCCGGGTAAATGATTTCTTTCTCTTGCCTTATTGCACTGGCCATGACCTCTAGTGCAGTGCTGAACAGAAGTGGTGACAGAAGGCGGCCTTGCCTCACTATTATCCATTCAAGGATAGTGTTTGCAACCTTCTGTATTAGGTTGAGGATATGCTTTTCCATCCCCAGTTTGCTATGAGCATTTATAAAAATTATGAAAGGGGTGCTGAATTTTGCTAAATGCCTCTCTCTATGGAGATAATGATACAATTTTTTCTTTTTTTTCTGTTAATGTTGTGAGCCACAACAATTTTCTAACGTTAAACGGTCCGTAGGTGCTGAACGTACTCCACTGGGTCATTGTGGGTGGGTGCTGTCGTCACGCTGGCACGTGCAGGCAAGAGTGGACCCACAGCCCCTCTGTGTTGGCAGAATGCCTGTGGTTTTCCAGAAGACGAGAGGCGGGGAGGCCCGAGAAGAGCTGCCATCTCCCACCGCCTGCCTGTCCTCCCGGAGGTTCTGATGAAGTTCCGGTGAGCTCAGATACCTGCGGGATGTAAAACTTCTGTGTGGAGCCATCTAGACTCGGCCCCTCAGCAGCGTGGCCTCCCACCGCGCAGGCTGCAGTCACCCGCGCCGGGCGTTTCCGTGCTGTCCTTTCTGGTGTGAGAGAGGACTAGGGAGCTGGCACCGTTGGCTTACTCTCGGTTTGTGATTGCATGAGTAATAAACTGCCTGAATTTAGAAGTGGCACCTTGTATCTTTACCATCGGACCCAGCAGCCATGGCTGCTGCTCTGCTTGGTAATCCCCTTTGGGAATAAAGGATTGTGGCCCGGCTCCTGAGGGGTCACTGGCCATGGGCCCTTAGCTGTTCCTTTGCAACTGCCCAGCCTAAGAGAACCATCTCCTCCGAGTTTACACTCCGCTTCAGAGTGACTGCCTCCAACAGCCGTCCGTGGGGAAGTATAAAGCCTGGCCCTTCCCCCAGAGTGGGCTGTCCTGAAGGGTGTCTTATCTTCTGAACTGCCCACGGGGTCCAGAGCCATTCGTTCGATCTTCCCCCTTCCCTCCCCATGTCATAACTGTCCTTTATACCCTGTTAGCTGATTCATTATTTAGGATTTCCGCCTCAATATCCTGTGAGGGGTTGCTCTGGAATGTTCCTTCCTTGTAAAGAGCTGAAAGCCACCAACAGTGTTTCTGAATCAATAACTGATTAATATTCAATGCAACCTTCGCATTCTTTAACCAGCGTCAACTCGGCTTCGTAAGTGAAAACAATGCATTATCAGAGTCAAGCCCGTCTTCAAGGAAGACTGGGAGGGTGAGGTGGTGAGGATAATGAGCAACTACCCGCATCCCCAGCACAGCGCCCGCTAACCCAGCCAGGCTTCCTTGTATGACCGAGGCCGCCCGTTGGTGGCCAGGGACCGGCTGTGCAGGGAGCCGCTGGGCCGTGGTCTGCAGGGTGGGCTCCGTGGTGCGCGTCCTCAGTCAGGCTCCCAGGACTCAGAGCTCCCTGCTGTCTTGTCACCTTGGCGTTATGTTTTCTGCTTCCTTAGACTGTGCATTTTTGCCACATGTTTTTGTTTTTAGACCTGCTCCAGGGTCTAAATTGACTGTCAATCAAGTTGGCTGTCCAGCAGCAAAAATGCACGCATTTCAGCTACACACACTGTGGGCCTGTCCCACAAGTTGGACATTAAAATGCAAAAAAGGCAGACATTATGATTCCACCTATAGAAAATGCAAAACCAAGCTGTTTGTCAGGGTGTGTGGACGGATAGTAAAGCCATAAACAGGGGTGGCCGTGGGGTCAGGTGCGGGGGAGAGCTGGCTGTGGCCGTGACAGCGGCAGGGACCCTGCCACAGAGAAGATTTGAAGACAGACTTCCTTTTCCTGGGGCGGGGGGCGGGGGCGGGGGCGGGGGGAGCACAGCTCTGGGCCCTCGGAGGGAAAGGGGGGCTAGGTAGAGGGATGTGGAAGCTAAACTGAAAATAAAGAGAAGGGGAGAACCATGCATCCACG